TTAAGCTGCCACTTGGGATACTGGAGTGCTGGGTTAAGTCCTGGCTGCTCTGCTTCCAATCAGCTCCCTCCTAATTTACCTGGGAAGGCTGCAGATGATACCCAAAGTACTTGGATCCCTGCCACCCATGTGGGAGACTAGGATGGAACTGAGTTCTTGGCTCTTGGCTTTGACCTGGCCCAGCCGCAGCCATTGAGGTCATTGGAGAATGAACCAGCAGACGGAAGATCTCTGTCTCTCTTTCTCTTGCTCTCTCCTTCTCTCTCTGTCACTCTGCCTTTCAGATAATAAACAAATCTTTAAAAATAAGTAAACTATGATTTATCATAAGCGATATAAAATAAAATTTCAAATTATACTTGCATGTTTATTTAGTTAGATATAATTTTGGACTGATGGAAGAGTTGCAGATGATTCCCTTACACCTTACTTTAGGTTTCTCTTTTGATGTGCACTTTTTCATAATTTCAATTAGATCTTGGGCAAGTTACTGAAGCATTCTAAGCCTCAGTTTCCCAATCTGTAAAATGGGGAGAATAATGGTACCCATTCCACTGGATTGTTATGAAGACTAAATGAGAACACCTGTGAGGTGCTTAGCAGCGGGAACGGCCTGCAGTACATGCTCAAGAAATGTTGGCAACATCCCTTTAACTAAGCATTGACTGTATGCCATGCATTGCTAGGCATTTTGTTACTTAAAAATCTCATCACAATTGTTTGATAAATATTTTGATTCCCATTATAAAAATGAAGCAACAGGGACCAGTGCTGTGGTATAGTAGATCAAGCCTCAGCTTGTAGCACTGGCATCCCATATAGGGGCCAGTTTGTATCCTGCTGCTCCTCTCTTGATCCAGCTCTCTGCATATGTCCTAGGAAAGTAGTGGAAGATGGTCCAAGTCCTTGGGCCCCTGCATCCACGTGGGAGACCCGGAAGCAGCTCCTGGCTCCTGGCTTTGGACCGGCCCAGCTCCTGCTGTTGTGGCCATTTGGGGAGTAAACTAACGGATGGAAGACCTTTCTCTCTGTCTCTCCCTCTCTCTATCTGTAATCCTGTCCCTCAAATAAAGAAAGAAGCAGAAGGAGGAGGTGGGGGGAGGAAGAACAGGAAGATTAAGAGAAGGAGGAGGAAGAAGCAGAAACAGGCCTGCTATGATGAGGAGGGCTGCAGGACCTTGGCCGCAGGTGCAGGTAGGGGTAAGACCTGGCCCAGGTGTGTCTGACTTGAAGGGCTCTGTATGTTCTTGACTGCATTCACCACCTCTGCCCTTCCAGAGGCATCTGGACTCCCACGTCGCCGGGCATTGGTGGATTTTCAGCGTCCTCCTCCTTCGGGCAGATGTTAATTGGCTTTTGGTCTTTGGTCACAGCACCGTGAAATCTGTTCTGCAGCAGGTTTCGTCTTGCACAATTGGCAATGGTTCTCTAGAGGGGACAGTTTCTTCTGGCTGTCCTGGCTCACACAGTCTCTTCAACGTTCAGCACAAGACTGCCCAGTTTTGTTGGCTGGAGCCCCGGATATAACGTGAAAGCATTGTGAAGTGCTTGGCACACGGCTATGCCTGAAGTTGGCACTCAATAAATATTTGTGTAATGAGTGAATCCGATGAAGTCACTGCTCTCTTGCTAGGCGATTTCCCCCCTCCTTCTCCCCCGTCATCATGGGTCAGGCTAACGTGCCCAACATGCTAGGCCTTGTTCCTGGGAGCCTCTGTAGGTGCTCGCTGGAGGTTGACAACAGAACCACAGCTGGATGTAGGTCAAGGAAGCATAGGGGGAGAAGCAGCTGTGAGCAAGCTGACAGCAAGGTTCAGCCATGGGCTGAAGCCCACGAACTCAAAAGAGTAGCAGGCCGGCGCCGCAGCTCACTAGGCTAATCTAATACCTTGAGGCTCCGGCACACTGGGTTCTAGTCCCAGTCGGGGCGCCGGATTCTGTCCCAGTTGCCCCTCTTCCAGGCCAGCTCTCTGCTGTGGCCCGGGAGTGCAGTGGAGGATGGTCTAAGTGCTTGGGCCCTGCACCCCATGGGAGACCAGGGTAAGTACCTGGCTCCTGCCATCGAATCAGCACGGTGCGCCGGCCGCGGCGGCCATTGGAGGGTGAACCAACGGCAAAAGGAAGACCTTTCTCTCTGTCTCTCTCTCTCACTGTCCACTCTGCCTGTCAAAAATAAATAAATAAATAAAAATAAAAGAGTAGCAGCATTGTGTGGGGCACCTTGGGGGACCCCGAGGGCCCCACAGGACAGCTTTGGGGTGACTGTTTGAGACTGGGTGCTGCCTCTGGTTGGGTCTTACACACATTTCTACAAGGCTCCCCCTCTCCTTTTACATTCCCACGTCACCCAGTGTCATCAGAGCACGCAGGCCAGCCAACAAGCTTAAAACATTTTTTTTCCTTAAGATTATTTTATGTGTTTGAAAGACAGGGTGATAGAGGCGGGGTGGGGGGGGGGGGGAGACAGAGGGGTGAGGGGAGAGAGAGAGAGCTTCCACTGGTTGGTTCAGTCCCCAAATGGCTACAACAGTCAAGGCTGGGCCCAGTGGAATCCAGGAGTCTGGAACTCCACCTGGGTCTCCCACACAGGTAGCAAGGGCCCAAACACTTGGGCTTTCCCAGGAGCATTAGGAAGGAGCTGGAGTGGACGGGGAGCAGCTGGGACTCAAACTGGCACTCACGTCGGGTGCTAGTGTCACAGGTAGAGGCCCAGCCTGCACCACAATGCTGGCTTCAAAATAGATCTCGTTTAGACCTGTCGAGCCCCACCACACCAATACCCAGAACATTCTCTTGAAAACTATAGAGGAAATAATAGCTGATGGGCCCATTTTATTAGGTCAAAGGGGAGGTGTTGGCTGATTTTCACAGGCTGTGTTGGCTTTTAGACCGCCTTGGCAGGTTAGGGGCTGCGGAGGGCCAGTCTCGGTGACTGCAAATCTAGGGTGGTTGAGGACAGAGAGAGGAGCTGTCAGACCTTGGGAGGGTAATTCAGACCGGACACAGAGCGTCCGACAGAAGGCAGCCACTGGGCGAGGGTAACAAAAAAGGAGGTAAAAATCCAAGTTGAAACTCAGAAATACTCAAAAACAAGGAAAAAGAAACAAACAGACCTCCTGCCCCCCACTCTCGGTTTCTGTACATAAAATTCCTGAAATCCTTTGGTCCTGGGCTTCATATAATAACGTAGTAGCCCTAAAAATGAAAGAATCCAGGGTTGGCTTTGCTGGAAGCAGCGGTGCCCTGGGGGTGGGGTGGGGGGTGTGAGGTCACATACCTTGGACAAGCCACGCACGCCTCGCTTCTTCTGCGACATCAACAGTCCTTCGGTCTGTACTCACCACAGAAAGGACAGGGGCAGAGGCTTTGCTGTCCTGTGCAGGGTGCCTGGCTGCCCAGTGCAGCCGCCAGGCTAAACACAGCCACAAGGACCAGAATGAAACCTTTCATCCGCAAGGGTGGAGCACAGACCGGGAGGGGGACACTGGGCTTCCGCGGCATGGACAGCAAGCCTCCGAGAGAGAGCGAGGCAGAAAGCCACAGTGCCCACAGGCTGCCCAGCTCTGGGCCGCTGCTGTGCTGTCCTCTCCACCTGGACGGAGACAGCAGTGTCCTCGCCAGGAGCCCTTCAGGGTGCTCAGGGAGGAATGCCAATTAAGGTCACATGCGCCCTCCTCTGCTTCCTCAGCTCTGTGGGAGTTCCTTGGGTGGCCAGCCTGCCCCACGCTCCAAGCTTTCCAGGACATGTCTGTGTCCCCACAAAATTCCTACGGGGAAATCCTACCCCTCCAGGTGTAGGCGTTGGGGCCTTTGGGAGGCAGTGAAGTCATTAGGGCTGAGTCCGCGAGAATGGGCTTAGTGTTCTTACAAAGGAGCCCTCCGAGAGCTTGTCCGCTTGCTCCACCCCGGCAGGGCACAGCGAAAAGGTGCTGCCAATGCAGCAGGAAGCCAGCCCTAGCCAAGACACCGACTCTCCCGTCATCTAGAACTTGGACGTGCAGCTTCCAGAACCGAGAGAAATACATGTCTGCTGTTTCTAAGCCACCTCCGCTGGGGTGTTTTGTTACAGCAGCTTCAACAGCCTCAGACAGGACTCCAGCCTTCCTTTCTGGCTTCCGGCGGTAAACAGCCCCCAGTGGGCTGTGCCAAGGCAAACAGAGGCGCAGGTGAACTAGGTCTGGGGCCTGGGGCTCCGTGCGCACCGCGACCTCCGCTGCGTTGCGGTCAGAAGCCTTCTTTCCGGGAGGAGGTACATCATGTTTTCCAGGCGCTTCCGTCTGAGTCATCTGGTTCTCCCATAGCCCCTGGATGCACGGCCCTCGCTCTGCTCAGGCCTGGCCTTGCCTCGCTCTTTCCTCCGCTGGCTTTCGCAAAGCAGCCTGCATCCTGGAGCCCCGGCGCCATTTCACACAGAGAGTCTCTTTCCCCTTGGGGAGTAGGAGAGTGTGGCTGCGGGGGCGGGGCGGGGGTCCTAGATTCTGTCACCACGCTTGTGTGTGTTCCCAGCGCCCACAGTCCCCCTGGCATTGTTTGGAGCATCTGAAGGCCACGTCCTGCCCAGACTGGTCGTGTTCTAGGAAGGGAGACTTCAGCGTTAGGGACACACTTGGGCCACTTGTCACCAGGTGACTTGGCGTCTCCACAGTTGGGAAATGGGGAGGCTCAGGAGTGGACCGGCCCCGGGTGGGCTCCCGGTCAGCCACACGGGTGCGGGGCCCTGGCCGCCCCTCCCTGCCAGGGCCGCAGGCTGCCCACTCGGTGTCGGCGTCGCGCCCGGCCTCCTCAGGGAGCCGCGCGGGTTGGGCGCGCTCCCAGGCGCATTCCTGGCCGGGCAGCCCCTCCTCCCTCGGCCTTGGCCAAGGGGCTGGCGCCTTCCCCGCCTCGCCGGCACTGTCTCGTGCGTGCGGGTGCTCCAGGGTCCGGCGCGCCGCGCACCGGGGCCCGAGTCTGCGCTCCCGACCCCCGCGGGCCGCGCTGCGCTCCGGCGCCTCCCGCGCACCTCAGCGCCCGAGCCGCCCCCTGGGTCGCGCGGCGCCCGCACCCTGCAGGGACGGCTGCAGGGTCGCTGGGACACGCTCAGGCGGGAAGTCACAGAAAGTTATTTCCCTCGCCAAGCAGCTAGGTTCCGAGCGGCAAGATGGTGCCCAACTTGCCCCGCGCGCTCTTCCTGCTGCTGCTGCCGCTGCTCGCCTGCCCCGCGTCGCGGGCTTCCCAGGTCAGTGTCCCGCGCGCCGCTCGCCTGTCCCGCCAGTAGGCGCGGACTCCCCGGGCTTGCCACAGCCAACTGGGGTGCCGGGTTGGGACCTGGAGCGAGTCTTGGGCTGCGATTGGGTTTCCGAGAGAGGCACAGGGTCCCCCATCTGTCACCTCGCGGGCCATCTCAGGCATCTGGGAGGACCCGGGTTGGTCTCGCCGAGCCCAGGCGCCTCCGCGTCGGTACACGCGAGCCAGGGCTCCTCGTTGAGAAACCGCCGACGGCAGGATGGTTTCTCCGAGATCTGAGAGCCAGCATTTCGACGGCAGAGGTGGCGCAGCCTCACCCTGAGACTGCCCGCGGGGCCTTGGATTTGGGGTTCAGTGGTCTCGCGCGCGCATACTGGCAGTTGGCGGTGGCGTTTTTCTCATCTGTATGGTTTCAGTCCCACTGACCCAAGGACTTGAGCAGATTCGCTTCTGTATTGAGCATTAGGAACTGACTGCAAAAATTAAGAAAGTAGACAAAAATGCATCCTCTGAAGGTGGAACTGGCATTGCCAGTTCAGAGCCAGCTCCCACCAGACTAGCTCCGGCGTGCCAGCAATACCAGCAACAGTAGCAGCGGAGGAAGGAAGGCTTGCACAGGCTTCTGAGGGCCGGCTGTGCAGCAGGCTCCCTGCCTGGATCTTCCAGGCACTTAGCGCCCAGAGCAGCCCGGATCCCCATCTTGTAGATGTGGGAACTGAGGCCCAAGAGGATTATGACTCACTTAGGGTCATGCAGCCAGGAAAGAGTGCAGTGAATTCAGTCTGTCTTGTGCAACTCCAAGTCCTTGTTCTTGTCTGCAGACGGCTGTCCATACTCCCTGCCCTGGGACAGAATTCTTGGGCTCCTTTTAGGGTGCAAGAGGAGATTCTAAGGAGGGAGAATTTGGCACAAACCAAACCTGGTGATGTGGTCAGCAGGCACACTCTGCAACCAGGTTACTCTGCAACCAGGCAGTAGAGACCCAGTGTGGGGCCACATGAACTCCCCCCCCCCCCAGCATGGGCAGTGGGATCTCCCACCCACTTTGCAGATTGCAAAACAAAGTCAAACCTCAGGCCCAGAGCCCGAGGCTAGAAGCATAGCTGAAGGCATCCTGGAGCTGCAACCGAAGCTGCCGAGGAGGGCAGCGTGCACAGGATGTGCAATGGGGTGAGAGTCCCGCCCTGCCATCGCCTGATCCTATCTGCTCATACCCTCTGGGACAGGACAGATGTCTGTCTCCTGAGGTCACGCAGAAAACAGGTGAGACGGCTGCAGTTGTCACACGTTTGCTACAGAGAGAGAGAGGCGAGCTTGCCTGGGCTCTGTTCCTGGAAGATCCTGGTGGGATCCCTGCCCTGCCGCCACCAGACTTTCCCAAAGTCCTTATCTCCTCACCTTGTTTTCTTTGCCCGCGGAAGTACTTGTTCTAAAGTTCTGATGCAACTACCCTTCCCCCAAATTCCCATGTGGCCGGGACCCCCGACCTCAGGCCTGGGAGCCTCCGTGCCTGCTGGAGCAAGCTTTCACTGGCCCTTCTCGTCTGGGACTCTGCTCAGACACGTGCCCCTTTGCAGAGGCCTTTCCAGCCCCCGCTTCCTGCCCCCACATTTCCTGTTGTGGTCTCCTGAAGAACCTGGCAGGAGGCTGATCACCACTTACAATGACAAATGTGGATGCTCTGGGGTTTTTATTGGTCTGTCTTCCCCTTTCCAGCTGCAAGGGCAGGGACTCCACCTGGAGTGCTGATCCAGGCCCCACCATGGAGCAGGTGCTCAGAGGACTGAATGGAGCACAGTAGGGCAGGGGTGACCTGCACAGAGCTGGCCCTCTCTGGGCAGACCTTGGCAGAATCCTGATGGGCCTCACCCCAGAGAATCTGATGGCATCCATCTGGCGTGGGTTGCTCCTAGAGATCCTAATAGAGCAGGTGACGGGGTTCTAGAGCAACCCCAAAGCTCAGAGTTGGAAGTTGGGGAGGTAGGGGAGGGCCAGCGGCAGGGGAATTCACAAGGCACACGGTTGGACCAGGGCGGGCCTGGTGACTTGGTAGTACAGCAGTGAGAGCTGTTGACTGGTGGGGATTCGGTGTGAGGGGAATGCATTGTACCCACAGGGCCATTCTTGCCACAGAGCAGATGCGACAGATAGGGCAAGGGCACCAAGACAAGGCTTTCCCAAGCAAAGTCCCTGGGGCACAGCAACCCTTGGCCATTTGTGTGCAGGTGGAGAGAGTGCCCATGGCCCTGGCTGGATTCCTCTCTTTGCCAGTACATGTGTTCACTCTGTCCTTCGGATGATAGCCAATGGAAAACATAGCAGGTTTCTGTGTGTGTGTGTGTGCTTCTATGAGTGTGTGTCTCTGTGTGATGTGTGTTGGTGTCTGCAATTGTGTGTGCAGAAATTTGTGTGTTTTGGGAATGTGTGCCTGTTCGTGTGATAACGGGTATGTATGTGTGTCCGCTCTGTATTAGTGTGTGTGTGAATGTGTGCTGTGCATGGTGATGCGTGTATGTGTGTGCATGTGTCTGTGTCACAGTATGCATGTAGCTGTGTGAATGTGAGGCTGTATTGTGATAGTAGGTGTACTTGTGTGCACATGTATCAGTGTGTGTTCATGTTTGTGTGTGCATGTGTCTATGTGACTGTGTTTATGGTGGTAAGAGTCTATGTGTACCCAAGTATATGTCCGTGTGTGTATCTGTGTTCCTGGTGGTAGGTGTATATACATGTATACTGTGTGTGTGTGTTAGTGTGTGTGTGTGTATGTGTTACAGGGTAGCTGCCTTCCTCAGTCTCTGGTGCCAGGATCCCATGGAGCTACAGTCTCATCTTTCTCCTGACTGTGTCTGTGGTGGGGTGTGTGTGAGTGCGGGTGTTTCAGGGTGGGGGAGGCTGCCTTCTGCAGGGTCTAGCACTAGGACTCCGTGGGGTGAGGCAGTCTTGTCACTCCTGGCTGTCCACTGTGACCTCTTGCTGACGTATCTGTCCGAGTCATTTTGCATGCATTTTTGTGACCAACGGATGAAAGCAGGTGGCTGTAGGGGAAGAGAAGGTGCTGAGCAGTATGGGGACCCCACAAGGGGAGACCCTTTCTCACCTCTTGGCCCACTCTGTAGCCTTCCCGCAGGAGGAGCAGCAGCCTCCCCAGGGAAATAAGGGACATTTAACAACCCCTGCACCTTCTCCACTCCCTGCTCAGAGGCTCTGGACGAGCTGGTGAGGGGAGGAGACTCCCTGCCCCCTCCTCACCTGTGAAGCAGAGACTTCTCCCTCTCCAGAGTCGCTCTCTGGGCTCAGATGTCACAGGCTCCTAGACTCCACCATTACAGCTCTGCTCTTCAGGCCACATCTTCCTATTTGCTGTGTTGCTTTTTAAATTTATATACAAGCAAATGTTTTTTGTGTATATCTCCTTGATTTTAACCATAGAGCTATATTCTGTATGTGGCAACTCTACCACCATCATCAGGAGGCACAGCTGTTCTACCCCCCAAAAAAACTGTCATGCCGCCCTTTGAAATTCCACCGTCCACCACCCCAGCCTCTGACAGCTCTGAGCCATTCTGCACTGTTATTGTCATATAAATGTTGTTTAAAGGGAATCAAAGAGGCATAGCTTTTTAAAAATATTTATTATTTATTGGAAAGGCAGAGTTACAGAGAGGGAGAGGCAGAGAGACAGAGGGATCTTCCATCCGCTGGTTCACTCCCCAAATGACCACAACAGCCAGGGCTGAAGTCAGATGGCAGGTGGCAGGAGCCAGGAGCTTCAACTGGGTCTCCCATGTGGGTGCAGGGACCTGAGCACTTGGGCCATCTTCCGCTGCTTTCCCAGGTGCATTAGCAGGGAGCTGGAATGGAAGTGGAGCAACCAGGACACAAACTGGTGAACATATGTGATGCCAGCACTGCAGGTGACGGCTTTACCTGCTATGCCACAATGCTGGCTCCAAGGCATTGCTTTGTGAGTTTGACTTCTTTAATTTATTTCAATGCCCCTGAGATCCTGCCATGTGCTGGGTTCCTTTTGTTGCTCAGTTGTAAGTGGTTGTGTGGCTATACTACAGTTGGTCAGTTCATCCACTGAGCAACACTCTTGGAGTCACTCCCAGGTTTTATCAATTACGAAGAGAGCTGCTGCAGGCCTTCACATACAGCTTTTTTGTGTAGATACAGGTTTGATTTTTCTTTTTTTTTTAAGAATTATTTATTTAGTTGAAAGGCATAGTTACACAGAGAGAGAAGGAGAGGCAGAGAGAGAGAGAGAGAGAGAGAGAGAGGTCTTCCATCCACTGGTTCACTCCCCAATTGGCTGCAATGGCCAGAGCTGCGACAATCCAAAGACAGGAGCTAGGAGCTTCTTCCGGGTCTCCCACGTGGGTGCAGGGTCCCAAGGACTTGGGCCATCTTCCACTGCTTTCCCAGACCATAGCAGAGAACTGAATGGAAGGGGAGCAGCTGGGACATGAACCGGTGCCCATATGGGATGCCAGCATTGCAGGCGGCAGCTTTATCGGCTATGCCAAAGTGCTGGCCCTTGGTTTTTCTTAGGTAAATATGTAGATGTGAGATTGCTAGGTTCTATGGTAAGTGCATGCTTCCCTTTGTAAGAAACTGCCAAGCTGTTTTCTAAATCAGTCTCATCATTCCACATTCCCATGAACACTGTATGACACTCCCAGGTGCTGTGCATCCTTGTTGGCACTGAATATTGTCAGGTGTGTTTTCTACCCGGTCATTCTAACGGGGATGTAGTGGTATCTCTGTGGTTTTAATTTCCATTTCTCTATTGACTAATGACGTGGGGCATCTCCCAGTGTGCTTACTGGCCACATGAATAGTCTATAGATGAAGTGTCTGTTTAAGCCTGCTGTCTATTTTTTAAAAGACTTATTGATTTATTTGAGAGGCAGAGTTATAGAGAGAGGGAAATGCAGAGGAAAGTCTTCATCCGCTGGTTCACTCCCCAAATGGCCGCAATGGCTGGAG